CCAATCCAGAGGGCCATCCTGAAAAGAAAAACAGCCTTAACGGCTCAGTGAGGCTTTTGTGGATGAAAATAATTGTTAATAATTGACATCATAGCATCACACAACCCATATAATGGTCTTACACCGTTTTTCTCGATGTGTTTTTCGTTCAGTATGCACACAAAGTCAAAAGGATCGGTGTATTATCAAAATGTAACATTTTTATTTGCTTTCCAAAAATGAATGACATTTCAAAAATAGATATAAAATATTACACCGTTGCAATAAAGATTACTTATAATACAAGAGTCATTTTTTGTTCAATGTACCTTTATCTTCTTGTGTATGTGTTTTTTTTAACTATACAATTCTGTCTCCCATTCGTTTTTACTCTACGGCTGTATTTAAATGCTATTTTTTCATGCAATTACAAACAAACAGAAAACATGATTGTATCACAATGAATGTCCATTTAAACTGTTGCATTTTCTGGCAACGATGGAAGCCACGTCTGTAAATTGTACACGTTCTGTAAATACACAACTTCGTTTTTGCATTACTGTCAGCAGAAAGTTACAAAGTATTTCTAACCAAAAAATTAGATCAATGTTTCGATTTGACACATTTTATATGCATACAAAAATAACAACGTAATAAGTTTACAGTCTTACCTAATATCTTACTTGAGGGTGTCCTGCACAGTAATACAAGTTAAACAATAATTACCAACACACAATTGTGCCCACTTACACAGACCATTAACAAAATACTTTCAACTGCATAGAAAAATGCTTAATATCACTCAATATCAAAATGTCCCTTTTAAGCATTGTTTTTTTTATATATAATCAGGGGCAATGCATCTCTATCACCCTTGAAAGTGTACTCATTTGTATACGTCAACAGTTGCGACTGGTGGTGCAGTGATTAGCGCACCGCCATGAACCTGGCGGCCTGAGTTTGATTCCTGGCCACTGCCAGCCCGCACGTGACACTCCCCCAACTTTACAAACCAAACATCGACCTGTGCGGTGAAGTATGGCGAAACAAACCCCATGACCGACACGGCATAGAGGAAGGCCTTCATCCCGCAGTTTATGGACAGAGATGGCCGTATTATTACGAATTATTGTCTGTCAGCGCTGATTTTAAAATCCCAAGAGGTATGGCATTAAATAGGTTACACTCGCTGCAGCAAGAAATAACATCTCCAAATGGATCGTGTGATGGACAGAATGTCAGTGGCTGCGATGTCTCCAAAGGAGCATTTTAGCTTCACCTAGCGATGCATCCGTGGGGTAACACGAGGAGATAGGACGGGCCCACCTGCAGGTGATTTGGAGTTGAGGTGGCAGATCACATATATTCCCCACTTTTCACGCCTTCCGTAATGAATCCCCTTCCATCAACCAAAAAAATATCACGCTGTGTCCGTGGACCACCTTCGTGTTTCGTCTATCGTCGATGCACCGGTGCGAAGTTGGAAGCCAGATTGTTTTTGTCTGGAACGACATCGTGAAGAAGAGGAAAGGTACACGGCAGCAGAGAGTGCGAGCACAATGGCCGACAATGTATCACACGTTCAAACGCCTTTTTTGTAATTGAACGGTGCATGATAAAATGAAGATAATGAAACACAAATGATGATGATGATGTCTGCCAAGTTTGTGCCGTGGCAGTGATTATCAAAAAATGACCTATCCTCAAAAGTTCTCAGGTGTGTTTCGTGCCATTTCAACCAATTGTTATTTGCTTGCATGGTCTCTGGATCGTCTTCAGGAGGGGGGGGGGAGCAAATTAATGGTGAATATTTGCTCACGTAAACACGTACAGGTTAACCGACAGCATTGGGAGGCAGCTTTGGTGCTGAAAAACAAAACAATCTCTGGCTGTGAATGAACCGCATAATGAAAATTCTATAAATACCCAAAGTTTTATTTTTTTCGTAGAACCAATAAACGAAAGGACTGAAAAAAAAAACTCGCGTTGTCAATAAATGTGTGAAAAGTCTTGGAAAATATGAAAACCTGTTCCTTTGGCACGGTGAGAAAGCAATAAAAAAATGTACGCGTGCGGGAACACGTGCCGTGTTGTTGTTTTTTTACCCCCGCGATTGAGTCTGAACCAACGGACGAAAATGACGCAGTCAAAAAGACCTCAGGGTTCAGCGACACTCGTCTGGAACCAGTTGCTGTGATCATAAAACCGTGCCCAACGGCCATAACAGGACAAACGCGGTGCCCTTTATCGGTGGGAAATAAAAAATAAAAAGCTGCCACGTGCATCTTGACGTGACACCAACACTGCTGGATAAGCCACCAGAACAACATCCATCCAAAGACAACAATTCCTCACCATTTTTGTTGTTGTTGTTGTTGCACTGCACCACCCCGTAATTCTACACCATCGTGTGTATATAGGGTGCTTCAAAAAATGTTAACACTTATATGGGACGATCTTTCTTAATGGGGAAAAGAACGGATAATACTACACTGCAACATGATAACAAATGTACGTTAAAAGCTTCGAAAAGTCAAAGAGTCTCCCACTTGTTCGCCATCGTTGTCAACACGTGGCCTGGAATCTTCTCCAGGTGGTCTCCAGAGGCCGGAGGCAGCAGCACATGTCACGTGGTGTTGGTGCAAATTCTCGGAAGTGTTAACATTTTTATGAAGCACCATGTGCGTAGATATATACGCAGATGTAATTAACAGTATATGTCTTTAAAGATTGCATTGCCCTTCTGGGTTATCGGTAATTGGACATCCGAGCCAGTTCGCGTGAGGTACGGAGAAAGTAGGTACGTGTAAACAAACGTTTACTCAGCGTCGGGAAACAACCAAGGGCAAGCCAAGTTCATAGCAAGCTCGTGTCGTGATACGTGTCAGAGCAAAGGCAGCCAAAAACAACTTGAAACAAATTAATGGAACAATTGGAAGAAGTGCCGTTGATAAACTTACATACAGGGAAATTGTGAAGTCACTCCCCGAGTCTTTGACTCCTATATTTTTAGAAACAATATGTTCTATCAATACAGATAATAATCCAATAGATTGCCCATTTAATGTTTTCTGTTTGTTGTTGTTAGGCGAGGCGTAATCTGAGCATGGACGATTAAGCTTAAAGAAATCGCGTCGGGTGCGCCAGGGAGTTCTGGAAGTGTATCCTTCAAGGCCGTACGACAAGGATATTAACGGTGTTGAACGGGCATCATCTAATCAGAGTCCAAAGTCGCTGGACAGCCAAGCCCAAGCAAACGCAGAAGAACTCAACGGGAGGATAAAGGGCTGCGGCTAAACAAAAAACAAAATAAAATTGGCGTTGAAAAAACGGTTGTGGCGATATTGCAAATACCTGGTTCCGAACGTAGGAGCTCGATGAAGGACTTCAAGATGAAGCGCAGAAGTAGAAGATCCGTGAGCGGATCAACACCACGGCATCGCCCGTCCATCACGAGGTGTACAAATATTTCAAATTTGTAACAACATTCATTTGTTTGTGGAGATAAGGTAGTTTAAAAAAAAACCCAGAAAATCCAGGGTGGGACTTTACGATCACCCTGTGCTGTATTTATATAAACAGTGTAAAAGTATAAAAGTGTTGGGCTTGCGCGTTGCAATACAAAATTTTATTGCTAATTTAAAAAAAAAGAAGGCGGTTATAGAACGTGACTCGAAACAACAACAAACACAACATTTGTTTCACTGTGCTCATGTTTTTGCTTTTTTTTGCGGGAGTGGAACTGGGAGCATTTAACTGGCCCTGCGGAAAGTTTGCCGTGAATGAATGTAAGAGGATGACGCAAAATAATTGAGAATTATTAAACGTACGAGTTGGCAGCAAATGACCTGTCGGGCGTCCTGGTGTGTGTGTTTTAGTTGTTGTTGTTGTAGCACCTTACACAGAAACATGATAACTTTCTTACTCTTGAAACAAATTGTATAAGGCACTTGATGTATCGTAAATAAATACTTTCCTGATTTCAGAAAATGTTAATACAAATATCCAATGCAGGCATGGCCTTAATATTCACACAGCACACACACACACGCGCGCGCAATATATGGGCGTTGAAGATTAGTCTGTCTGTTATTAATAAATTACATTGTGTGTGCATATTTACATTAACTTAGCAAATATACGATATGATTGCGTTAATATCACGTGTGCAAAACATATCTGAACAAAGAAATGAACAAAAAAAATAGCCGTTGTGTTGGCGACTGCGTACTACGCATATCTAAATTAAACGAGAAAAAACATATCTTCATATCGATGCTTGGTGTAACAGTATGTTATAGAAGCCCAAGTATCGTCTCTGTGTGTGTGTGTGTGTGCGCTAGATGCCGATGCTGTATTTTCACAAACTAGAAATATTAATGTGTACAGCACGTTCACCTCACTTATGCGGTCTTCATAAACCGCGTGAGTGTCGTCAAAATGTTTAAAACTCTCTCAACGCTTCGCAGGGACTACGGTACGCCTCACACTGTTTGTCGCCGCGTGCGAGTTCTGGAGGCGTCTTGGAATTCCAAGTCGCCCGTGTGTGGGAACAATCCATCGTGGGCCCCCTCAAATCCGCGACAAAAAATTCGGACCTGTGCCTGCCATCGCCTCAAACGGCGACAAAACGATACAAACGTGAAACTTCCCCCGCACCGCCCCCCCCCCCTCCCCCGGGGAGGAGTTTACAGAGGGAACGGTCACCGCAGCATGCATTGTATAGAGGATGTCACAGTGGAACGCCGTGTCAGTGAGGTTCAAAGGGATTCCACAGTGACATTTTTAAACGAAAAAGGCAATTTCCTCAGAGTGGTTTTTGCGGGGTTGTGCATGGCCGTATTTTTTTTTTCCGGGCAGCGAATGACGATTTGCTCAGCTTCTCTTGGCAAGTGACCACACGCACGTGCACATGCACGTGCGTGCACGCGCACGTGCGTGTGCGTTTCCTCATATTTTCCGGTCCCGTGCAGCGCTCAAATCTGCTGCCGTCCCAACCCCCCCCCCCCCCCCACCCCCCCACGTAAAAAACGCAAACGGCAGGTCGAGTGTCTCCTTGTTACTCACGTACAGCATGGAACTATCGCAGTTCCAAAAACTGCGCTTCCGCGCGTGCGCAAAGGACACGGGGAAGTAAAATAAAAAAGACACCTACGACTTCGCACGGTGCCACGATGATGGCCGATGCCGCCGTTTCCGAATAAACTGATCCGATTTAATTGCTCGACTCGTTCATTTCAATCCCGCACAGCCTCGGCGTGACGCCGTTGGGTTTGGGCCCGCCGCGGTGAAAGTGGCCGCTCTGCTACGATTGACCCCAAAGAGAGGCCGCGCACAGCAAGTCCGATGCACACTCCCTGTGCCGTCCTCCGTGTGGCTGGGGCCTGATGCGTGGTGGAAGAAGTGCTGCGGTGTGTTCCGCCGACTGCTTTCGCAAATAAAATGAAGGCCTAAAAAAACAGAACTCTTTGGGCTGCTCATTTAAGCGGCGGGCCACAAAGTCCATGAGATACCTACAGGCCGCCAATCTTACGTTACACAGTGTACATTCCAGAGGGGGGGAGGGGGGTCATGAAAAGGTTTTTGCCAATGGAACGCAAAAAAAGTGTAGATTTTACTGAAAATTAACAGCAATGGTTTCAGTCTGAATGCTTTGCTGGGGTTAAACACATGTCCACTGAGCAAACGGTATTCCCCATTGGCCAAACTGCCACAAGGCAATAATTGGTATATGGCTGATGAGAATGATATGCTGTATAGGCATAGACAGTAATCAAAAGTCAAGAGTGTCCTCCTGCCCAGGTGAGCAATGGAGACGTGCTCATCTCTGTTGGCAGGCCTGAACCAGTGATGGGGATTCCACATTCCCATGGCGGGTGCCAGTCTCTACGCAGGAAGCTCGCTGGCTGACGTTCCACCGAGCGGTTTCGCGATCCATCGGTTTGAGTGATGACGAAAGCTCCATCGATCGCCGGACGGAGACTTGAAGCTTCAGGTTGTGAGTCGAGTGCTCTCCACCCACAGCGTCACTGGCACACACGACACCATTTGACCAAAAAAACTGGCTTCAAATACCTTGCCGCAATGCGCGCGCCGCTTGCGCGGGCTCAGCGTTGATTGCCCGGCGAGCTCCCATCGGCGGGGTCGGTTGTGACGCGGACGATCCGGAGCAAATTGAGAGGACGAAGACGAGAGGAGGCGCCGGAGAACGAGGCAAGAGTCGTCACGTTAAAAAACAAAACTAAAAGTCGCGACGTGCGCCGCCGACATTTGCCGGCGAGCGTCACGAAGTGACGTCGAAGCAGGTGACCATCATGATCTTGGCGCGGCACAGGTCGAGGCGGTCTTGTAGCCGTGCCGTCTTCCACTCCAGAGCCTCGAGGTACTCGAGCGAGCAGCTTTCCAAGCTCTCCTCGATGTCGACTGCAGCGCACCGACCGTAGGGGAACAACAACAAGGGCGATGGCAAAACGCAATTAGTGCTCTGCCTTTTGTCGTTAAACGACGTGAACAAAAAACACTCGCAAACGGTGCCCTGCGCATCGAGCACATCCTGCACGGGGAAACGCACTCGATACGTCAGCCTCGCAAACTCAACCACTGGCCGTACACTGCCGCGTGAGGTTTTTTGCGGTTTGGTGCCGTGCAAATGGGTGTATGCGTGTATGCACACATGGGGAGCGACATTGTAGCGGTTAGCGCGCTGAGCTACGAACCCGGCCACCTGAGTTCGATTCCTATTCGCGGCCAACACCAGCGACGGTTATCAGCCTCAAATGAGTACCTGGTGCTGTGTGTGTAAACATCGCCACCGGGGACACAAAGGCGGTGCTGGCCAACCACCCCCTCGTCTGTCGTGCCGGCCTTTATAAGCGCTCGCTAACAGCACTTGCTGTTACAGGCTATACTGGGGATCTTTGTCTTTGCTTTTTTTTTGTGCTAGTGAGTGAGTGAGTGGGTGAGCGAGCGTGTGAACTCCGTACACTCGTCATGCGCGAGCGTGTGGATGAACACGTGCGACTCCGTGTGCGTGAATGAACGTGTGCGTGCGAGCGCGTGAGCTCCGTACACTCGTCGTTCCACTGCAGCGGGTCCAGCATGAGCAGGCGCTTGGCGTGGGTGAGCTCGCCCAGGAGCAGGCCGTGCCGCGCCCGCAGCTCCTCCGCCACGCGCTGCCGCCTCTCCAGCAGGCGCAGCTTGCTCTCTGGGTCCTGCAGGCCGGCCTGCGAGGCCCAACGAGGCCATCAGGGAGCGGGTTCATACACCTTAGGAAGCCTCCCTTATATAATCAACGTGTGCGTACATATGTAGCTATGTATACATAAGTTTGTTGTCCATCCCCCACACCTCTGATTGGCGCGGTTGTCTACGTACGATGTGAAAGAAGTTCAACATGCATACAGACAAGTATGACCTCTGAACTTGTTAGTGACAACATATCTTGACTTAAATACTAAATATGACTGGCATCCTATTCAATCTGGATAGACATAGGCATGTAGGACATATCTATAGACACGTGAGATGTATGAATTCATGTGCGTGAACACATAAAATACATACACGATTGCATGCACAAACGTGTAAACACGTACGCAGCTGCATGGCACGGCTCTAGCAAAGTAGCGGCACCGACAGCAGCGTCCATCGTGCACAGGGGGAAACTTCACATTCGATGACATCAGGACAAACCGCAGGGGGGATGACAGGGGGGAGGTGAGGGGGGGGGGGGGCGTGCTCCTCTCACCTCGGTGTCATCGGGCCTCCTCCTCTGCTCCAGCCGCTCGAGGTCGTCGATCTCGTAGACGGTGATCTGGAATGGCTCGTGCAGAGCTCTCTGCATGGGGCGCAGGTCCACCCAGCGGGCCGACGGGCCGGCGAGCGTGGACGCGGCGGGGAGCTGGACACCGGCGGCTCGGCCGCGCTGGGAGCCTTCGCCACGCGTTCACGGTCGGCGGCAAAATGAAACGAGTGGGTCAGCACGCGCCGGCTGCGGACGGGAAATTGTGGGCCGGCGGCGATGGCCGAGGGGCGGGAGATCGGTTTGGTTGCACACGCCGTGACGAATATATTTGGGTTCAGGAGCAAGGGAAGGCAACGGTCGTCCTCCCCGCTTGTTAGGCGTGCACCGATGCATCGGTTGCTCAACCGGAGCTGATCGCGATGCTCGATATGACACGCGCGCTGAATCGCGCACGTGACAATCGATGATTTACGATCGCGGCAAATGACGCAATCGCGAGGAAATTGCGACGTGACGTTTTGGGGGAAAAGTGGAGCGAAGGAAACTGAAGGAAGAAAAGGCTGGCGAAGGAAGGAAGGGATTTTTTTTTTTTACTTTTGGTTCGAACCACAACCCCAAATCACCAAGATTCATCAAACTGCCCGGGGAGTGAATCATTGCATGCCTACTGTGATACCTCATCGAAAATAGGTGGTGTTAGTCAGCTAGTTATTACCATATGTTTAAACATTGCCTCTCACGCCAAGGAGACACGAACACCTATTAAGGGAGGCCAGCATGGCACACGATGGGGTGGTGTGGCCAGGACTCGTCCTTCTAATTGTGATATGTACGCGACCACACCAGACACTCATTGAACATAATAATAATAGTACATTTTGATTTAAAGCTTTCGTGACTGCAGGGATTCATATTAAAATAATACAAATATAAAGCGAAAACATTTATTGTTTCATATTTTTATTATTTTATTGTTTCCCTTCTACGTGACTTTACCGAAAGAACTAAGGATATTCTTAGCTCTTTCGGTAAAGTCACGTTGAAGGGAAACAATAAAATAATAAAATACATATAAAACAATAAAAATTCTCACGACGTTTCGACCATAACACAAACGGTCGTCATCAGGTGTGTCGGTTTGCACCTGATGACGACCGTTTGTGTATGGTCGAAACGTCGTGAGAATTTTTATTGTTTTATATATATTTTATTATTTTATTGTTTCCCTTCAACGTGACTTTACCGAAAGAGCTAAGAATATGAATTACTGCAGTCACGAAAGCTTTAAATCAAAACCAAGAATATAATAATAGTAATAATACGAAATAACACCGTGGCCCTAAAAGGAAAATAAATATTATTGTCGACGTTTCAGGAAATGACCCTTCTGCATAGCACGTGAATAAGGTACTCATTTCAGACTCAGTCGAGCAAAGATAGACTGGGGATAGGTTCAGTTACCACCTACCACTGATCTTGTTCACGGCTCGGAATTGAACACAGGTAAGGGGTTGGTTCAGAGTACAGCAAACCAAACACACACTCACATACACTCACTCACAACACGCAGTCAAATCATGGCTCTCTATGTATGTCAAATTCACGTTATTTTTGCAACTGCGATAAGGCCCCTGGCGAGAGATTTTCTCACACGGCACTCTGCCAGGTTTCCTATAGATCTTCGCAAGATGATCGTTTCAACCGCTGCTCAGGCTTAAAAAAAATACGCCAGAAGGAAGCTTAATAAAATGTCACTATAAATGGCCTCATTACGAAAGTGAGTGTAAATCTCAAATATTGCTCTTCGTTAAAATGCGCCTGCAAATGAATCTGATGTAAAACCTTTATAGGGAACTATGTTTCTGTTCAACATTTTTACAGTCTTCTTCTTCTTCATCTTGTTAAGGCTCGATATTTTGAATGTTTCTTTTTTTTAAGCTTTCAATTTTGCCAATTATATGCTTGAATACGTCATGGACAGGGGTGCTGTTTAAAGCTGTGAGCACGGCTCTATAATAATATAGCGTGACCTAAAAAAAAAAATCAGACTTATTACACAGGTATAGTGGGTATGGAATGGCACAAGCCTAACCACTGGTTTGATTTGAATACATCAATCGCAACGCAAGGAATAGCCAGTAGGGACTTGCTTGGAGTAATCCAGACACGGGAGATATAGGGGACAAGTTATCAAAGCTGCTCAAACCCATCCCATAGTTATATTTCCTTGGTGTTGGTAATGGAAGACGGAAGCTAATTTTCAGCAAAAAATGCCTTTAAAACATATCTGCCAACATGTTAATTAAGGCCCAGAGAATGTACACCGGTTAGCCTCAGTTAAAAAGGGATTCAGGTGCCCAGACTCCTAAGGTCAAGAAGCCGACAGCTGAGTCGATGAGTCGATCAAGCCGATGAATTTTTGAGCAAAAATATTGTAATTGAGCACTCTGTGGTCGATGACTTGGGTCAATTTAAAATTGTGATCACCCCCTCCCACCGCCTGCCTATCGAAGGTGGGAAACCCCCGAGAAGCCACGCCCACTGCGACGCAGCTGACTGTGCCGATGACGTTGCCGAGCCCACATCACCTCCCGTCCAGCGGCACAAAGCGGGAGCAGAAGGGGCGATTTTTAATGTATTCGACTATTTTCGTGTTATCCAATAAGCGTGCGTGATTGAACCGATAATTACTCAATTAGTCGGAGTGCCCAACTCTAAAGAGTCAACGTGTCTCCATTTTTCAGCAAGCAATGGAGGTGGTGCCCATCTCCAAAGCCGGAAATTCCACATCCAACAACAACGCAATCCACCGTTCGTTTCTCATCAAGCGCTCCTCCTTTTATTGACCCCCGGACGAATGACAACGATGGGTGGTCGAGGCGCATTTGGCACACGGGGAGAAAAATAAAGTGATGGGCAGCAAGATGAACCATTAAGTTGCGCAACTAAGAATGCACATGACGTCTATATATTTTTTTGTCACTGTGCCACGCACGATCATTCTCATAAACACAATCCACTGAGCCTTTCAGCTCGCTCGTGCAGAAACTCGGGCATTGGAGAGTGCCTGCATCTGCCCGTGTGAACCCTCATAATTACTGCACAATTAAGAGTGCAGAAGCCACTCAGCTCACATTGCAAACCCTTCTCCCCAATTTCGCTCATTAGCGACAACGCCAGTGGCTTCAAGGCATTATTGACGTATTTGGGAAAAAGAAATGTTAATAAATCAAGGGACTTGGTTGGTGTACACCAGGGCAAAGGTTCGAAGGCTAATGAACACACATTTAAATATGAATAATACACGGTTTAAGAGCGGACAGGGATGTGTAGGCAAGAGATATGAAAGGTCAAGGCAAAGGTACAGCAGCCCTTTCATTTACTTGCTCACGCTACTGCTGGCAGAAGGGTCTCCTCCATTAAGAGGCAGCTGTTCTTTCAAGGTTATTTGGCCTACTCTTCCACGCTGGTCAGATGTCATGGGGGAAGAAGTGGGAGTACCCAAATGTTACCCAACTGCACACGTGACCCGCCAGTCGACTAGCTGCGGCGACCCCATTTAGACTGCTGGGTGGACAGAGGCGGGGGGGTGGGGGGGAGTTTAGGAGCTAGCTCATTGTTTCAGCTGCTTCACCAGGCCGATGGAACTTGCGACCTCTCGACTGAAAACCTCTGGAAGTCCAGCACGCAAATAAGTTATACCACGGGCAGCTTTCGAAGTTCACGGCTGCCCAATATGAAGATAGGCTGGTCCCCCACGATGTGGGGCGTGTAAATTCCACAGCTGGCTCAAGGGGCCACCAATGGCAATGACCAAATGCGATCGTGGATCGCTGGGACGGAGAGATGCCCTCGCGTGGCGTGACCGATTCACTAAATGTCGCTGGGTTAAAAGCGCAGTGTGATGACCACTGTGGGCACGACTGTCCCACATGCACTCATTTGTGAACAGCGAGGGCGCCCAGTTGAACACGTAGGAGGCTTTCACGACCAATGTCATCCATAATAGAGGGTTTTGTTTGGGTTAGATCGTGTAAATATATAAATGTGTCGTTAAACTCGCTGCCACCCGACACAGCTAATTAGTAAGGTTTGTCACGTAAACTGAACGTGCCAATTCGTTACTAGTACAGCACACCGGTGTGTTGGAGAGCCAATCCACAACATTTACAATCGGCGTGCTGTACTAGTAAAGAATTGGCACTTTCTGTTTACGTGACAAACCTTAGTTATTGGCTGTGTCGAGTGGTGGCGGGTTTAACGACACATTTATATATTTACGCGATCTAACCCAAAAAAAAACCTGCATTATGGATTCACTAAATGTTTGACTGACCAAAAATAAATAATAATATATTTCTTTTTACAAATACACTTTCGGGGCACATAATTTTATTTGCTACCGGTTAAAGCAAGTATGACTGGATCTCACAAATAAATTACACAAAGGGGGGGGGGGGGGTTGCTCACTTCTGCAGGAAAAATATATGCAGCAGGTTTCAGCTCTGTGAAGATATTTTTGAAAAAAAACGAAAAGCCGCCCCAAGCTCTTCGTCGTTCTGTTGTGCAAGACTGCCTTCAGAACTATCAAATATTCAAGCATGACCTTTTACTACACCCTGCTGTGATCTTCCTTATTTAATGTTCATATAAGCGTGCAAAGATATACCATTTGGCGAATAAACACTACATATTGATGCAATAACCTCCAAAAAGTTACAATAATCTTGGAAAGGAACTCCACAGCTGACGTCTCCCAAATTGGTACTCATTTTATTGATGCTTAAGGGGGGGGTGGGTTCAGTCAGGCTCTGAATTTCAACTCACAACCTTCTGAATGTACCTATGTTGACCTTCTTTCGCGCCGAACGTAGCCAACTGTGCTAATTGGAGGTGCGGGTGAAGGACAACAAACTAAACACAACAACAAGCAGTTCTAAAGCAAATGAGTTTTCAATCTTGATTTAAAAGTGCACAGCTCCAGTGGCGACGGCTGCAGAATCGCTTGTGAAAGCGCGCAATGCAGTGACCGTCTTTGATCAATAACACGAGTAGCGCTCTGTGAATGTGAGTCGAGCTCTCTGCTCAGGAGTTGCTAAGAACACACACATGTCCCCAATAAAGTGCCTCCAACTAACAAGCTGACTAATTAGCCATCTCCGTGGCCCCGCTCAGCTGCACAGCGTGC